ATTTGTACCAGTGGTTGTTGTCTTCCATAAGTGGAAATTGTAAAAGCTTTATATGTTATGCCTCTGGTAAATTCCCCAAAATAAGCAAACAAAGGGAAAGACATAATAATGACTGTATTTCTATTGCTACTATTTTAGAGGGTATATTGTTTCAAATGTTTTATTATTAAAACACATAAAATACCATGGCTATATCAGTAATATTCCAGGTCAAGAGTCTTTTTTATCCCCCATCTATGATGGTAAGGGGGACTAATGTTTTCAGTCTATGACTCTATCCTTTAGTCCATTTGTTCATCTGTCTTGTATCAGCTTTATCTTTTGGTTCAAGGTAGTTTACTATAAAGTTGTAGTCTCATCAACTTGAAACTTAGTACACATATTCAATATGATGTGAACTTTTTGAAATATATGCCAGATTTCAGGGTTTATGGATCAGGTCAAAATGTTGCCTTTAGGGCATACGATACAGTTACAGGGGGAGATAATGATGTTGCTAACATAAAATATTATTTTCGCAACGTCAAACTGTGACATATCGGAAAAAGATGCATTTTTTACTGATTTTAATCAGTAGCAATACACAGTTAGAAGTTTAGTTTCGCATTTTGGCCATGGTGAATTTTTTAAATATGAAAGTTTTTGTACAATTAAATTGATTTTTAGATAGTTGAATAATAATATAGCCTTCCAAGTGGGTTTATATGAACATCAAGATTGTTTTTAGCATGTTTTAAAGGCCATTTTTCTGTTTGACAGTCCGTATTTTCACATCCTTACCGCCCATAGGTCCAGAAATTATTGTAGTGTTTTTCAACAAAGATTTGACCCTTGATCTTTTCAATTCAATTTTTGTCGAGCCTTTGACTTTAGTCGAAAAGCGAGATATAGCGATCCTACATTCCGTCGTCGTCGGCGGCGTCCACAAATATTCACTCTGTGATTAAAGTTTTTGAAATTTTAATAACTTTCTTAAACTATCCTGGATTTCTACCAAACTTGGATAGAAGCTTGTTTATGATCAAAAGCTAGTATCTAGAAGGACATTTTGTAAAAAAATAAATCCATTTTTTCCGTATTTTACTTTTAAATGGATTTAGATTTCTGCCAGGTAACAACACATTCACTCTGTGGTTAAAGTTTTTAAAATTTTAATAACTTTCTTATACTATTTTGGATTTGTACCAAACTTGGACAGAAGCTTGTTTATGATCAAATGGTAGTATCCAGAAGGAAATTTTGTTTTCTTCCAGTTAACATTACATATAGTTTGCAGTTAAAGTTTTTAAACATTTATTAGATTCATAAACTATCCTGGATTTTTACCAAACTTGGACAGAAGCTTCTTACAATCAAAAGACAGTATCAAGAGGAATATTTTTATTGATTTACTTCCTCATTTTTGTTGAGCCTGCGATTAACAGAAAAAGTAGGCGAGACACTGGGTTCCGCGGAACCCTTACGAATTTTATGGAAAAACGAGCAGAAATGCATATGATTTTTTTTGGACCTCTTGATAGATAAATGTCTATGGTTTCAGGAAAGGTATCACTCTAATGGATTGAAATTCTCCTTTGGACCAAATTTGGGAGACTTTTGTGACATTTTCACCCCCCTTTTTGCAATATTTTGTATCAAATAAATGTAGATTGTTGCCATGGTTACACCAAAAAGAGATTATATTTCACCATTATAACTATTTGAAAACAAATCTATGGAAGATGTTCTTTCCATAAATATATACATACATAAAACAAATATTAAGCCTGATTTGTTAGAAAGGAAGGGAAAGAGGGTGGTTGAAAATTATGAGCGTCAATTTTAAGTTTTTTCCTAACTGTGTATTGCTACCTTAGCTTTAAAACCAGAGCATGGACCCCTTTTTAGTCCCCTACCGACGAAGTAGAAGGGGACTTTAGGTTTGCACTCCGTCCATCTGTCCGTCTGTCCGTCTGTCCATCTGTCCATCTGTCCATCCGTCAGTCTGGCAAATCAGCTTTCCACACTTTTTTTCTTCGTTCTTGAAGATATTGATTTGATATTTGGTATATAGTTTTATCATGACAAGTTATATATCAAGTTCGAATTTTGTTCTGTTCTGATGATTTAGTCCAGAGTTATGGACCATAACTCTGGACCATATCTAATGTTAGAGTACTATGTTAAACCATATTATTGTACAAAGGGAGATAACTCATTTTTAAAAAGACAATCTTTGTTAAATTATTTGAAGAATTTTTTGACAGGTTTGTTTGTTATTTAGTATAAACTAATTTTCTGAATGCTATATATATAAAAAAAATTATGAAGAGAAATCCTTTAATTAGATAAAAATCTATTTTTATTAATGTATATATATATATATATATATATATTTCAATACATTACATTGTGTAGATAAAAGTTGTTGACATTTTATAGATAAGTTACAAATCTATATTAGTTTGTGACAAATGAAAGAAAAAAATATTTGGAACTATTAATTATATCTGATTATAATTTGAAATAGATATACACTGTATTACATCATATCTAATTCTAGAAAAATATTAATCTTATCTAATGTTTTTTTCATCATGCTTATAAGATATTGATTGATAATTGGTATATAGTTTTATCATGACAAGTTACAGATCAAGTTCAAATTTTTGTTTCGGTCTAATAATTTTGTGCAGAGTTATGGTCCTTGGACTTGAAAAATTCACTCATATAATCAGTTTTCGACACTGTTTTTAGTCATGCTTGAAGATATTGACCTGATATTTACTTTTTATTTACACCATGACAAGTTATAGAACAAGTTAACATTTTGTTCCAGTATAATGAATTTTTACCCGGTAGTGGACTATGTATTGCGATGCAATACTCTCAGAATGCTTGTTTAAAAATGACATTTGATTTGATTATATATGAAGATTATATGTACCAATTTTTATGAAAAAATCACAAATGTTTTTTTTTAGAATTAAAAAAAAATATACAGTAAAAAATGCTGTTTTTTTGTAAAATCATGATTATTTAATAAATTTTTAATATTTTCCAAAGAATTGTTACACAAATTTAGAGCATATGTATGTCAAAAAGATATTTCAAATAATTTTACAAAATTATACTTGTGTTTATCTTTTGAAACAAAAAAGTTAGGTATGTCTCTCCAAAGGATAGAAATTTCCAAGAAATCGAAATTTTGAGTATATATCTAAAATGTTTACCCCATTTATCTCTAAAAGTAGCACATGAAGGCATATTTTTTATTACATTTCAATTGACCAAGTGAAAAATAGCTTGTATGTAAATTTTCGTCAAAAATTCACTGTGGGATCACAACTGTATGGTATCCTCTTAAGGTAGTTTACCATGGAGTTATACATCAACTTTGTTGCTGTAAAAAGTCTTTGTGATAGCAAACTTGTGAATTGTAATCATTGAGAAATTTTAAATCATTTTTAAGGAAACCTATCTTGAAAGTATTACTACTGACATACAAATGAGCAAATAACATTATTCTATGATAACAATTGCCTGGATAACTTTAAAGTAGATGATAAGCAAACAACAATCAATCAATAACTTTATAGGGCTTTAAATTTTATATGTTAATTTTATGCTGTGCATGGGATTCACTTTAGCTGGAGCACTGTAGATGACAAAGAAGTTTCTAATAAAATGTTTCATCTTTTTATTGATCATTTGAAAGCTGATTCCAATATAAATCAATTAAATGCCAGTATGAAATTAAACCACTTGAAAGAAAAAGTCATATAACTTAAGTGAGCCAATATTTAAAAGGTTACAGGTAATTGGCAATTAAATGCAAACTATTTATGTTATTGGTGAAACAAAGTAGTTAGTAGCATTTTCTGTACAGAGTAATGATTTTTATGTATATGTATAATTATCAAAATTACAGATGTTTTAATTTTTCATTCAAAAGGTGAAAATCAAAACAAGTATAGTATCAACCATTTTTTTAAACAGTAAAATCGATGCAGTATTATTAAGAGTTAATGCAGGTTTTAATGGGATTTTTTTTAGATGACACCAGCCAGACACAATATATAACACTTTAAGTCTATAAATTTTTTATGACAGTCCATTTGCATGTTATTCTATGTCTTAGACTTCCATGAATTAGGGTTTAAGGCAAACATGTTCTTTATTAATGATACTTTATTTTTATTAATATAAGGGGCCTTCATGGTACAGGAGACACTAAGATAAAATTCATAAGCTAGTTTATATTCTTAATTGATAATAGAAACTTCTAGATAGGCCTGCTCCAAGTACAAATTAATCCTTGAACAGTTTTTAAATTTTTTTTAAAGTGTAATGTAATTTTTGTTGAGATAGGTACTAATTTCTTACATTTTATCATTTAATTAGGATTGTCAAAATCAGTTACTCATGTCATCAGAATTGTTATGACAGAAAATAATTTTCTAATTTCGGTGCAAGTATATACTTAATTGTGAATGTAATAGAAAGTATTTTCTCATAGGATCTTTTGCGAAAAAAACTACAATTTGGAAAACTTTGCACTAAGTACGATCTAACTCAGACATTTGTATTAGTTATTTTTAAATACATTTGTATTAGTTATTTTTAAATCTATAAATTCTCTTAATCCTATTACATGTGTATATATATGTCTTTGCCTTTATGCAGTGAAAAAACATATAAAATCCTATGACTCATAGTTAAATCATCATTTATTATTATCATTCTTACAATTTGATATAACAATACTCTAAGCTTCATAATTTAAATTTCTAAATACACATGTAATGATTAAATGCTGGATTAGGAACTAAATCATTCAAATCTAGTTCTCAAAGTTAAATTCTGTTTGTAACATGCGTTAAAATCAGATTTATTTCTCTAAACAAAGACAGTCATTAAACTATTGTTATATACTGAAAATCGGGTGAATATTTAAATTGACGGCAACGTTATTGACACCTTTGTACATATAATTATCTTTAATGTTTGCCAAGATACAATGTGTGGAAACATTTATAAAATGCTAGATATTTGCATTTCTTCAAAGAGTATCTATTTAGAATTGTAGATATCAGACATGATTAAGTTATAACAAATAAGGAATTTAATACTACTATAGTGTGATTGATACTATTTAATGTGTAGTATATGCTGATACTAGTTAAAATTACATTGGAACTATTCTAGCTAAAATAATCAAATGAATATGGAAGGAAGTGATATCATAAAAGATAAGTTGTAAAGTCTGGATCAGATAATTAAAAAAAATTGTAGAACTGCAATTTGTGAATATGTCTAAGGATATAACAGAGAGTCACTAACAAATTTAGATAATTAACATTAAAGAAGAAGGTTTCACTGACTGTTTAAATGGAATGCCACACAAACGGATAAAGATGAAAGTAAAATCAGGATCAGTTGGCTGTCAGACTTTAAATTGCTCCATGCAATGTGGAACAGTGGGTTGTCAGACACCCATCAAATACTTACTTTGCTCAAAATGCAGGTATATAATTGTGAATAATTTGACTAGTGGTGGTTTCATACTTACCAGTATTTATTATTATTATAACTATAAGCAGTGACAGCCATTTTAATTTCAGTTCCTGAAGAGAGGGAGAGAGAGTTGCTCGAAAGATTTTGTGACACGTTTTTAATCTAGTTTAAAATTTGGTAGAAGTGAAATTAATTGAATCTTATTTTACATGCATGTTTATGATAAAATAATGTAAAATTTTACAAATAAATTAGTTGTGTAAGTATAAATAATAGATTATGTACATATGTAAATTTTATAGTAATTATACCCCACACAACGAGTTGCGGAGGGTATAATGTTTTTGACCCGTCTGTCCGTCCGTCGGTCTGTCTGTCCGTCCGTCAGTCTGTCAGTCCTGTTTCTTGTCATCGCAACTCCTCTCAAACCACCAACAGAATTTCACGAAACCTTTTTAAATAATAAGGACATACTATATAGTTGTGCATATCGACAGGAAATTACGATTCAATTCTTTTTCTAGGAGTTACGCCCCTTTGAACTTATTTACTTTAATGTACTACTGCAACAGTTTGTCATCGCAACTCCTCTCAAACCACACAACAGAATTTCATGAAACCTTTTCAGATAATAAGGACATACTACGTAGATGTGCATATCGACAGGAAATTACGATTCAATTTTTTTTCCAGGAGTTACGCCCCTTTGAACTTATTTGCCCAATATACTACTGCAACCTTTTGTCATCGCAACTCCTCTCAAACCACACAACAGAATTTCATGAAACCTTTTCAGATAATAAGGACATACTACCTAGATGTGCATATCGACAGGAAATTACGATTCAATTTTTATTCCAGGAGTTACGCCCCTTTGAACTTATTTGCCCAATATACTACTGCAACCTTTTGTCATTGCAACTCCTGTCAAACCACACAACAGAATTTCATGAAACCTTTTCAGATAATAAGGACATACTACGTAAATGTGCATATCGACAGGAAATTACGAGTCAATTTTTTTTCCAGGAGTTACGCCCCTTTGAACTTATTTGCCCAATATACTACTGCAACCTTTTGTCATCGCAACTCCTCTCAAACCACACAACAGAATTTCATGAAACTTTGTAGATAATAAGGACATACTATGTAGATGTGCATATTGACAGGAAATTATGATTCAATTTTTTTTTCTGATACAATTTATTTTTCTTACACTTATTTTACTTCTCCAATGACAATGTGGGGACGTGGGGTATGTGAGCGCGCTCACTAAGGTTCTTTCATTTCGTTGGTGTTTTTGTGTTGTACTATTTTGAAACTTAGTAATGAGGTTTTCCTCTATTGCTTTTACTCTCCATTATCATATTTTGCTGTGAATAATGGGATGCCAGCTTTGATAGAAACATATAATGTGACTTCAGAAATTATTGTGTGCATTTATTATTGTGATTTTTGAAGAATGGGCAAAAATGTGAGATTAATTAAATTCATCATTAATTATTGGGATTTAAGGAAAATCCTCATAGAAGTATATGTATCAAATTCAGAATGAGAGTTCTTATTGGGATACTCATCAAAGTCGCATTATTTGGATTTATAAAAACCTTGCAATAGTTATTGAATTGACAGTAATGTTATCTGTTGTATTGTTTCACATTTTGTTACCCATGTCTTTTATAGCTTACTACAATATGAGGTATGCTCATTGTTGAAGATCATACATTCACCTGTAGTTGTTTAAATCTTTGATTTTCAGTCAATAGTTGTCTCATTGGCATCATACCACATCTCCTTACTCTTATTTTGTCAAATTCTGAAAGGAAATAAACAATACATCCTCAAAAATTATTTGAAGCTTCTGTCAAGTGGCAGTACCATATTTATCATATATCTTATTACACCTTGTTTGCACTATGGCATTAATTGAAACTTTTGTAACTTTTAATATATATCCCCTGGTTGTTGTTTAAAAATGAACCACAATGATCATGATGATAATAAACTTTTATCTATTTTAGAATGACTCTTGAAGAGGAAGATGAAAATCATAGTAGAATAGAAGACAACAATAACTACCATCCAGACAGAGAAAAACCAATGATTCATCCCTGTGTGGATCCTCCTGTTTGTGAGAGTTGTCAGAGACTAGAGTTATCTTTCTTTGATCCTGGATGCCCAGGATGCAAGGAGATACTAGAAAATCCAAACACAACCGTCCCTGAAATTTTTGCAGTATTACGACAATGGACACCTCAGACACAACATAATTTAGAATTACTTGTTAATGAGGTAGTTTGAAAATTAATTTTCACTTCCTCAAGCATTCCTGAATTATCTTTTAAATAAATAAGACCATAAAAAGTAATTCATAGATTCTCTTTAAAAAATACAACTATGGTGACTTCCATTAAATTTTGCATTAAAAAAGGAAACATTTCCATATTAATTATGGCATTTGTTATTATCTTATGTGTGACGAATGTCCCGAATCAAGTCATAAGCATTAGTTTTCTGGTGATGGTGTCCTCAACTTATACTTCTAAATTTTCTGATAAGGTACACTTAAAATAGTAGGAATACCATTGCATCAGCATTCATGCCATCTCAGTTGCTTGCAGTATTTGAGTTCCTTCCACTAGGATGCTCCAATGACTTTAACATTTAGTTTTCTGGTAGGGTGTACTTGGAAAGAAGTACATGTATTTATAAAAAGACTATTATGATATACTGTTTTCATGACAGCATTCAATTTACTATTTATGACATTGATGTGAGGTATGATGGTGTATCTGCTTCCAAATACTATGACTTTTTTCACGAAGCAAGAGTGTTAATGATGTAAGGGAATTTCATGACAGGTTTTGTGAACTTTTCTAAATCTAAATGTAAAAGGGCCATTAGCTACGAGATATGAAAAAAATAATTAAAATATGATTTTTTTGTTCAATCATTAATGAAAAGGAAATAGTGAAATAATAATTTGCTTTTAGCAGCCAGTTTAGTTCAATTTTGTCAAAATAAGCTAAGAAACATCCCCGATGAATTATTCACTTGCAAGTGAATAATATGACCTCATTGAATCTGTATTCATGTGACCTTCAATTTAACCCATTAGCTAGAGATTGGTTATGCATGTATTAGCCGTGTTCAGCTATTAAAAGGAAAAGAATGTCAACATTGAAAATGAAACAAAGATGAACCATTTTGTTGTCTGGTTCAATCTACAAAAAATCCTTATACAGGTAAAAACTATGATTGACTTATTTTTATACGACCGCAAAAAAATTTTTGTGGTCGTATATTGGTATGACGTTGGCGTCGTCGTCGTCGTCCGGCGTCGTCCGGCGTCGTCCGAAGACACATTGGTTTTCGCACTCTAACTTTAGTTTAAGTGAATGGATCTTTATGAAATTTTACCACAAGGTTCAATACCACAAAAGGAAGGTTGGGATTGATTTTGGGGGTTATGGTAATAACAGTAAAGGAATTAGGGGCCAAAAAGGGGCCAAAAATAAGCATTTTTGTAACTTCCAGACATAACTTGTGTGTTAGTGTATGGATCTCTCTGACATTGTACCACAAGGTTCCATATCACTAAAGGAATGCTGGGATTGATTTTGGGGGTAATTGCCTCCAAATTTTAGGAATTAGGGGCCAAAAAAGGGGCAAAAAACAAGCATTTTTCTAGTTTCATGACAATAACTTGTGTGTAAGTGTATGGATCTTTCTGAAATTGTACTACAAGGTTCCATATCACAAAGGGAAAGCTGGGTTTGAGTTTGGGGGTAATTGCCCTAAACGTGTAGGAATTTGGGGCCAAAAAGGGGCCAAAAAACACATTTTTTTCTAGTTTCCAGACAATAACTTGTGTTCAAGTGTATGGATCTCTCTGAAATTGTACTGCAAGGTACCATACCACAAAGGGAAGGCTGGGATTGAGTTTGGGGGTGATGAATCATAATGGGGGTTCAAAAAATTTTGGGGGGGGATTTATTTTTTTTTCCTTTTTTTTCTTTTTTTCCTTTTTTGTTTCTTTTAAAATTTTCCATTTTAAGTTGGTTATTTCTGATTTATATTTAAAATCAAATAATAATGATATGGTAGGAGATACACACCAAACAGGATGTGTAAATTATTATATAATAAGTATTGTGCAATAGCAAGAAATTTTCAATTGCACAGTATTGCACAATAGCAAGAAATCTTCAATTGCACAGTATTGCGCAATAGCAAGAAATCTTCAATTGCACAGTATTGCGCAATAGCAAGAAATATCCAATAGCACAATATTGCGCAATAGCAAGAAATTGTCAATTGTACAGTATTGCGCAATAGCAAGAAATATTTAATAGCACAGGATTGTGCAAAAGAAGATACTTCCTATAAATTGCTTATTTCTTGACCAATTTCAATGGGGTTTTATTCTTGATTTCATGGGGTTCTTTAATATGCTGAATCTAACCGTGTATTTAGTTTTTGGATTTTGGGCCCCGTTTTTAAATTGGTCCACATTGAGGTCCAAAGGGTCCAAAATTAAACTTTGTTTGATTTCATCAAAAATTGAATTATTGGGGTTCTTTGATATGCCGAATCTAACTGTGTATTTAGATTCTTAAATTTTGGGTCCGTTTTCAAATTGGTCTACATTAAGGTCCAAAGGGTCCAAAATTAAACTTAGTTTGATTTTAACAAAAATTGAATTCTTAGGGTTCTTTGATATGCTGAATCTAAACATGTATTTAGATTTTTGATTATGGGCCCAGTTTTCAAGTTGGTCCAAATCGGGGTCCAAAATTAAACTTTGTTTGATTTCAACAAAAATTGAATATATAGGGTTCTTTGATATGCTGAATCTAACCATGTATTTAGATTTTTGATTTTTGGGCCCCGTTATCAACTTTGTCCACATTGAGGTCAAAAGGGTCCAAAATTAAACTTTGTTTGATTTCATCAAAAATTGAATTATTGGGGTTCTTTGATATGCCGAATCTAACCGTATATTTAGATTCTTAATTTTTGGTTCCGTTTTCAAATTGGTCTACATTAAGGTCCAAAGGGTCCAAAATTAAACTTAGTTTGATTTTAACAAAAATTGAATTCTTAGGGTTCTTTGATATGCTAAATCTAAACATGTATTTAGATTTTTGATTATGGGCCCAGTTTTCAAGTTGGTCCAAATCGGGGTCCAAAATTAAACTTTGTTTGATTTCAACAAAAATTGAATATATGGGGTTCTTTGATATGCTGAATCTAACCATGTATTTAGATTTTTGATTTTTGGGCCCCGTTATCAACTTTGTCCACATTGAGGTCAAAAGGGTCCAAAATTAAACTTTGTTTGATTTCATCAAAAATTGAATTCTTGGGGTTCTTTGATATGCTGAATCTAACCATGTATTTAGATTTTGGATATTGGACCATAATAGGTGAATGTCCAATTTAAAATTTTTAAGTTCTTAGACCACATTCAATCTGTGTTAGAAACTTATGCTGTGTCAAATATTTAATCACAATCCAAATCCAAAGCTGTATCAAGCTTGAATGTTGTGTCCATACTTCCCCCAACTGTTCAGGGTTCGACCTCTGCGGTCGTATCAAGCTGCGCCCTGCGGAGCATTTTATTTTAACCTATAACATGAAATCAAACAGACCTGGAAAAATCCAATTGCATGAGGTCGCTATCTATATATATTTATGTTTATGTTAATATCAGGTTATGTGAACGTCGGCAGTCTTCGGGGGTCATGTCAATGGTTAATTAGATGGTGGCTAGACTACAGTACACATGAAATGCTGATATATATTATAGATTCCATGCATTGTTAATTGTTTATTTCAGATTTATTGTAATTTGGATATACGTTTTAGTATGTTATAAATCAAATATGAGAATTTGAGTCAAATCAGTGAACATGAGTTTGACAGCTAATGCCCCTTTGAAAATGGTTTCTGCCTCAGTCACAGAAGCAAGACTTTAACAGCTAATGCCCCTTTGAATATGGTTTCTGCCTCAGTCACAGAAGCAAGACTTTAACATGCTGTTTCAAGTAGCAGTGGTGGAGGTGTCATCAATTGTTAAGTTTGTGATTCACTTATTAAGAGAAACCTATTATGTAAATAAATAATATTTGGTATGCAGTTGTATTAGCATTGGCAGAATGTCATTTATGGAGATTATTGGACCTGAACCTTACCTAAGTCTCAGTCCATGGGCTTTTTGAAATTTAAGCATGGTTATATTTAACATCTTAAAAGTTTGTGATTAGGCAAGTTTAAGTTAAAATACTATTAAAATGGTTAGTCAATAAATATATTATAGTTACACAGTTGTATTAATGTTGGGCATTACTAATTTCAATAAGGTTTTTTTGGCCTGCCCCTCAGTCTTGTCCATATGAAACTTTTGCATTATACAATGTACTACATACATCAAAATTACACACAGGTGAGACATATCTCTGTGTCAACAGTTTATTACAATATTATTTACCCTAGATTTCAGGCAGTATTATAGTAGCATTTTCATTTTATTTTTCAGTTGCCATTCAACATATTCTTTATTCATCTACCATGCGTTACTATAGAAATTTGTTTTACGTAACATTTTTTAAATTTGATATTTTTCAGATTTTGAAGCGTGGAGCACATATCAATGATCGAGATGGCCTTACAGACATGACATTACTACATTATTCTAGCAAATCAGGAGCTGCTGGGATAGGTGATTCTGAAATTGCAGCTAAGGTTTCGTCCATGTTAATATCAAAAGGAGCAGATGTAAATATAAGATGTAGGTGGACCAACATGACTGCTCTACATTATGCTGCATATTTTGATGTGGTACCTGTGATAAAAGTCCTTTTGAAGGCAACTAAAGCTTTAGGTATGAAAAAGTTTAAAATAACTGTCAGATTAACTTAAGGTTTTTTTAATTTATCAATTATTTGAGGTATGGGGACAAAAGTATTGCCATTACAGATTGTTGCAACAAAATTTGGGATGGGCTTTTTGATTATCTTTGGCAACCTCTTTATGAGTTTTTGGCCATGTTGCATCAATGATTTTTATGCATTTTTGTATTTTTTGCAGAATTTGTGATGAATAAAGAGCAACATGTTTTAAAAGCACATCAAGACTTACAAATAAATCAACATGGCTGAAATCATCAGTTGACCCCCTAAAGCAGTTATTGTCCTTGAAATACAAGTTTTTTCTTTTTCCATTTGAGTTTTCTGCAGAAATTATAGAGAGAAAATGTAAAACAGAAAATTATCAGGACAACAAAATCAAGACAAACAAGTCAACATGGCCAAATCATCAATTGATTTCTTATAAGAGTAATTGCCCTTTCAAAGGGGATTCATACCCATTTTATGTTGAAACTATAGCTGTTAGAGAGAATCTTCAAAAAATGAAAATAATAAGCACAATGATATCTGTAAATCAGTCAATTTACCCCTTCTAGGAGACATAGGAGATGGTTTTGGTTAAGATTTATTGCTAAGGTCCAATTCCATGATGGACATGAATGATGATGATATACAAGGAAGGGCACAGCGTTTCTTCATCTATTTGACAATCTCCAGAATCCAGTTACAAATTTAAGTGTTTAACAAATAAATGAAGGAGATATAAAAACAAACAATTGTTGAAGGCCGTACGGTTGTCTATAATTGCTTACATTCACTTCATTTGAACTTTGGTGGATAGTTGTCTCATTGGCAATCATACCACATCTCCTCATTTTTATAAAAAAAATGTCTAGAGATTGTCTTGAACTTTACATAAGTTTCTATAAGAATAGGCTAATAAAGCATTTTAAAACATAATCATAATGAAAATAATTATTATTTTACAATTCTACAATGATTTTATCATATCAGATATTCATATAAGATCAGTTAAATGGGTACTATCATAATTGTATTTTGGATGAAATGACTAAGGGTGAGTTACTTATTATGCTAAGTGAAGTATTATCATTTTCACAGTTTGACTTTATTGTTTACAGATGTAGATAGTATCTGTTCAGAATTTGACAATGGTGGTGTCTTACATATCGCAGCATCTAATTTAGCATATGAAGCAATAAAGGTGTTACTACAGAATGGTGCTAATCCTTCATTAAAAGATGATAAAGGACGAACACCAATAGGTTTGTTTTTAAGAAGAATATATATGCCAATAAAGGGGTATGAGTGGTAAGTTGCCAATTTGGCTCCTTTTATAAATCCATTATTTCAAGATGTAAAGTTTTTCAAGTTGATAATTAAAGTAATGAGGAAATAAAATAGAACAATTTTTGTTGAGTTTTTCTTATGATTTGGAAATACTAATATTGATCAAGTTGGAATATGTCATGCAGTAGTTCCCCTATTGTGCAAGTCCTTAACCAACAACTACCAGATTTGAAAGGACTAAAACTTAAGCAATACATATCTTTGAAAAACAATTACTCTCCTGAAGGATGCCACCAAGGACCATTGATTTTGTGAAGTGAAGTGAAATTTACTCCTTAGGAACAACAATCAAATTGGTATCTGGATGGATTCAAAGCATGAAAATTTGATTACTAAATAGGCATAAATATGTAAATCATCAGGTAAATTGTACAACAATAAGAGGGACATCCAAAGTCAATGTATGAGTGTCATTTGATACAAATCAGTGTTGTCCTTGATATCCAGTGAAGCAATCAGAATTTTTGAAGTCTTTTTCATAACAGACAGAAGCCTATGTCTCAGACATAGATTCAATATATAACTTGAAACTGGAAGAAGTGTACAAATTCTGTCTTCACCATATTAACAATGGTATTTCTTTACAGAATGCATTCCAGATCCTAGTGATTTAGACTCAGACCCTGATATGGGAAAACTAGTGATCAAATTAAAGAAAGTTTTACAAGAAGCTAGTCAACCAGCACCTAAATTACCTCCACCAAATTATGATCTAGTCCAAAGTAAAGTAACTCTACAGTCATTAGGACTGGACCTGGGTGATAAAGTTGTGGTCGGGGGATTAAAGGTAAGTCCTTACCAGATAGATCCATATATGTTTCATTTTATAATAAAAACCTTCTTAATTGGGGCTGTTCAATCCCATACTTGTCTGATATGCCAACAGCACTACTGGTAACAGCTTAAAATTTTATTTTAATAAACAGCTACCCAATAATTTGATGATGATGGATGGCTGCTTAATGTCCAGCTTCCCAATAATTTGATGATACTGTTCCTGACAGTGAATTTGATGGTTGATGGGTTGTTTAAATTGGTTAAATGACCCATGAACAACATGGCGTGGTCTCATTGGCCTTGTAGTCTTAATAAGAATGTAGTTGTTCAACATCTGCTTAACAGACCACTTCAACATTAAACCACAACTAAAAGGCTCTTGCTCCAATTGGATGCAAAGGTGATGAACTAGTATGCGTTTTAAACAGTAGGTTGGGGGTTTACCATCGACACTTCAGTTATCTCATCCTCAAATACTAAAAATTATTGGCACGAATGAATACATTTAAAAAAATGTTTAAATACAACAAACAATAAACATAGGTAGGTATCAAAGAAAAATCAGCACAAGAAAATGTACTGGTATGTGCACAGCATTGAATATAACCTTTATCAAAGTCAGATTCTAATCGCAATCAAAAATATATTATGGACTTCACCACAAATTATTCACAATAAGACATTATTGAAAATAATTGTGAACAGATTTTTCATTTGAACCTTTTTACAAAAAGTAGCGACATGACCAAAGTTAAGAATTTGTGAAAGTTCCATAACATTATTTGTTGATCTTATTTTGTTTTTCTGCCTTAGTATTTGTATTTTGAAATGTTGCAAGAGAATGTTAGATACAGATTAAGTCAACATTTTTCTCTTTTGTTGTTCCTAGAGATATTCCCATGAAATATGTGGAAAGATGGCAAATGTTATGTTTCTGTTCAATAATCTGATTATCTTTTTAAATTTTAAAAATAATGATAAGAATTCTGAAAACAAGTTAAAGTTTCATAATAGTTGTGAGAAGTGTATTTCATTGTTCTAGATTATGCAATATTTTTTTTCCATTTTGCAAATGACTATGTTTACTGAACCTATTCAAATGTTTGAAATAGAGCCCATTTTATTTCCTTTTTAAATTAAAACTAAATCAAAGGGTTTGCATTGACATTTACATTATATTTCCTAGACTGGAACATTACGATATTGTGGACCAACAGAGTTTGCCAATGGTATTTGGGCAGGAATAGAACTAGATGATCCAGGTGGCAAGAATGATGGTAGTATTGGTGGGATATCTTACTTCCAGTGTCCTCAAAATCATGGTAAGTCAAATTCAAAGAACACTGACTTTTGTCAAAATCACGGTAATTCAAATTTAAGGACCACTGACATTTGTCACAATCATGGTATGTCAAATTCAGAGACCACAGGCTTCTGTCAGGAACATTGTAAATGGAATTTTCTTTACATCAACAACAGAGGGTATATATTTATACTAGATTTTTAGTATATATTCCTTAACCCTGTATTATAAATAAAGCACTTAGGTACCATTTTTAGCACATTTTTCTTGTACTATTTTGTACTGTTGAATATTTGTGGTAATAACTTTTTTTATGTACACGTGTATGTCTTCTGTATAACTGTAAGTTGAAAGTTTACATGTTAATAGAAGATAGTTAACAGTTGACTCTCAGCACCTGTAGAGCATTGAAGCAGATATATTTCAAACTAATTAGTATATAACTTCTTCAGTAATACTGATGTATAAGGATGTATATTAAAAAACAGAGCTGATCTTCAAGGTATTCTGTCTACAACTATACATCATGTACTGTGTTATAAACCTAGTTAAAGCTGACAAGAAAAGGCATCACTCGACTAACGAAGCTATATTTTTATAAAGCAAAGTAATTCGAGTGGTCTAGGTGGTTGAACACAGTGCAGGCATAGTTGCCTTGATGTTACAGACTCATGGGTTCAATTCCTGTTGAGGGAGGAACAAAAATTTGCAAACACAAATTTGCAGTTCTAACATTCTTTGGCTAAATTTGAGAAAGTATAAATATATATATATATACCGGTATATTTTTTTTATAATTGATAAAATTGCTTGAAATTATATTGAAAAATAATTATTTAAAAATAATTTGAGGACTTATATTTTAAGGTATCTTTGCTCCAGTAAGTAAAATAGCTAAGCCAGGAAGTACACCAGCACTTCGCCCATCGTCCGCATCATCACCTTCTAAGTCATCACCTAATAAAACAGTTCCAGTAGATGTGTCTAATGTGAAAGCAAGAGTAGATACAGGTAACAGAGCACTCAATCTATTTTAATGAGGCTAGTAGATATGTCTTTTATTTTGTTCAAAATACAAAGGATTTTCTACCTGAGGAATAGCTGTATTTGCAAAACCTTTCAAAATTTTGGGTCCCCAATTCTCTTCAACTTTGTTTTGTTCTTTTTTTTGCCTTTTAGATTTGTTTTATTAGAGCTTCACTGATGAGTCTTTTGTAATCTGGCGTACAAAATGTAAGCCTGGTATCCTTGATGAGTTTTTTTTTTTTTTGTCGAGCCTGCGACATTTAGATCCAGAAAGCGAGACATAGAGATCCTAATTCCTCCATCTGTGTCATAATATAGGTTCAGTCTGTGGTTAAAGTTTCTTTTAGACATCAATAAATTTGTCAAACCTTCATGGAATTTAATGAAATTTGGACAGAAGCTTGTTTATGACCAAAATACAGTATCCAGAGCAAAATTTTGAAAATGGACTTAGTATTTTTATATAGTTAACAAGTAAATACAGTCTGGGGAAAAAGTTTGTTACACTTCAATTTCTTTGTCAAAGCTTCATAGAATTTTATGAAACTTTGGCAAAAGCTTTTCTTAAATTAAAAGATAATGTCTGAAACAACTTTTGAAAATATTTATTTTCATTTTTCCATATATTACTGATAAAGGGACATTTTTTTTTACAGTATTATATATTGAACAAGTAAATACAGTCTGGGGTTAAAGTTTGTTACACACCAATTACTTTGTCAAACCTTCATAGGATTTTATAAAACTTTGACAGAAACTTATAAAGTATAAATCTGGTGTATGGTAGTGAAAAATATTTCTATTTCCAATGATTTACTTTCTGTTTCAAACAACATTAATAAGACACCTAAAAAATCAGGCATCATAGTACCTGTATAAAAAGTATGACATCTGAATATATGGTATAAGTACACGGATTGTAGAAGGATTCAAGTAAAAGAATTGAATATAACAGAAAATTGCCCAAAATAATCAGAAATTACATTGTAATGCCCTGCTCATCAAATGAGAATTGGAAGCGAGGTTATTTCCCTTGAATCATTTACATAATTTGTCTGATTTATGTATAAATAACAAAATCTACCAGAGCCAACAGTTAGTTTAGATTGACTGGAACTGCTTCTTATTAGACCACCTGTTATGCTGTGTAAAACTGCGACAAAAACTGCATTACACAATCTTTGAACACACATGGACCATGTTCAAGGTCATTCAGCTGCAGAGAAACCAAAGAATAGCCTTAATATTATTCTGTGCACTTAAAGCACAAATCAACTGAACCACTTTAAAATTAGTGTATCTATGGAAAGGATGTGCAATTAGAAAACAGATGACACGAGAGCAATAGACACTTATTTTATAAAAGGTGACAAAATCAATAGATTGTTAACATCGGCTACTATACTGATTAAAAGTTATTTCTAAACCATTATCGTACATTTTTAGAAATTTTCCGTTGAATTATGTTATTTAAAATATGCATGCAAATACATAATAACTTATTTTCATTAGCTCACCTGGCCCACAGGGCCAAGTGAGCTTTTCTCATCACTTGGCATCCGTCGTCATCTGTTAACTTTTACAAAAATCTTCTCCTCTGAAACTACTGGGACAAATTTAACCAAACTTGGTCACAATCATCATTGGAATATCTAGTTTAATCGATGACCCTGTATGCCAACCAAGATGGCTGACATGGCTAATAAACAGCTGCGCCATGAGCGCATGATATGCCTGTCGCTTTTTCAAAGAATAAAGTTCAATAACTTCTCAATTTCATATCAGAAATTTATGAAAAACTAAAGGGAGGTTATCTTAATAGATATAAACCAGTCACCAAAGTTTCATGAAAACTGCTCAAAGCACTTTAAAGACATTGTCTGAAAACTGAAAAATCACCCCTTTTTATTATGCTACCGCCGTAGCGGAGGGGGCATTAAGTTTTACCCTTGTCCGTCTGTACGTCCCGAAATTGGTTTCCGTTCTCTAACTTTAGTTTGCCTCAACCAAATGTTATGAAACTTATACACAATGCTTATTACCACAAAACACAGATCAAGTTTAAATTTGGGTGGCGTAACGTTACTTTTACCTTTTCTAGAGTTATGCCCCTTTACAAATGGAAAAATTGCTTAATTTTTCATTTCCATTCTCCAACTTAAGTTTGTCTCCGTTCTCTAACTTAAGTTTGTCTCAAGCAAATATTATGAATCTTATACACAATGATTATAACCAGAAAACACAGATCAAGTTGGAATTTTGGTGGCGTCACTTTTACTGTTTTAGAATTATGCCCATTTACAAATGGAAAAATTGCTGAAATTTTCGTTTCTGTTCTCTAACTTAAGTTTGCCTCAACCAAATGTTATGAAACTTATACACAATGCTTATTACCACAAAACTCAGATTAAGTTTGAATTTGGGTAGCGTCACTTTTACCTTTCTTCAGTTATGTCCCTTTATAACATTATATGCATGCAGGGGCATCATCTGTGTCCTATGGACACATTCCCCATTTATTCATGAATAAAACCCCATAACTTGGAAACGTAAAATCTAAAATTTATAAAAATCAAAAGGGAGCTTATGTCAAAAGATATAAACAATTCACCAAAGTTTTCTTGCAAATTGGTGAAAGTGTTTTTGAGTAATTGTCTGAAAACTGGAAAATCCCCCTTTTTATACGACCGCAAAAAATTTTGCAGTCGTATATTGGTATCACGTTGTCGTCATCGTCCGAAGACATTTGGTTTCCAGACAGTAACTTTAGTATTAGTAAATAGAAATCTATGAAATTTAAACATACGGTTAATAACCACAAAAGGAAGGTTGGGATTGATTTTGGGGGTTATGGTCCCAACAGTTTAGGAATTAGGGGCCCAAATAAGCATTTTTCTAGTTTCATGACAATAACTTGTGGAACAGTGTATGGATCTCTCTGAAATTATACCACAAGTTTCCATACCACAAAGGGATGGTTAGGATTGGCTTTAGGGGGTTATGGCTCAAACGGTTTAGGAATTAGGGGCAAAAAAGTGAGAAAAAACAAGGGTGTCCTGGTTAATGGACAATTACTTAAGTACAAATTACAGTGTAAGGGAGGTAATTCAAACACAATTTTGAATTACCTCCCTTACACTGCTTTTAAATAGTGTATAAAGAATTTTTGTATTGTCTTGAGGTGATTAGCTGTCAATTCATTTTTAGAAGTTATTATTTTAATCATTTTAAAAATGCTGATTAAGGTAAATTAATGTATGTCATTTTCTATTTTATGACTCTTATGATGTATTTAAATGGGTTATTATGGTTGCAAACTCCATTGGAAATTTGAATTGAAATTATGACCATGACTGAGGAAAAGATTTTTTTTTTTTGGAAAAAAAGGGGGGAAGTTTAAATAAAAATTGTGGGGGGGACAATTTTTTCTCCTCAAGATTTCAGAAATCAAAACGAAAATATCCTTCAAATTTTTTTTTTTTTTTTTAAAAGGGAGGGGGGGGGGGTCAATTCACAACAGCATAGTGTATTGCACAAAAGGCAAAAAATTGAATATAAATTCAAATCATATAACCAATTCTAAGTTCTTTGACTACAGTTATTCTGTGTCAGAAACCTATGATGTGTCAAATATTTAATTACAATCCAAATTCAGACCTGTATCAAGTGCGAATATTGTGTCCATTTTTGCCAAAACTGTTCAGGGTTGGACCTCTGTGGTCGTATCCAGCTGCCCTGGGCGAAGTAATTTATTTAATGAATAAAACCCCTTAAATTGGAAACTTAAAATCTAAAATGTATAAAAACAAATGCAAATTGGTTAAAGCATTTTTATACGACCGCAAAACATTTTAGCGGTCGTATATTGGTATGATGTTGGCGTCGTCATTGTCCGAAGACACATTGGTTTTCGCACAATAACTTTAGTTTAATTGAATGGATCTTTATGAAATTTTACGCTAAGGTTCAATACCACAAAGGGATGGTTAGGATTTACTTTGGGGGGTAATGGCTCAAACCGTTTAGGAATTAGGGGCAAAAAAGGGGGAAAAACAAGGGTGTCCTGGTTAATGGACAAATACTTTAGTACAAAACATAATTTAAAGCAGTGTAAGGGAGGTAATTCAAATACATTATTTGAATTACCTCCCTTACACTGCTTTTAAATTATGTATAAAATAATGGTGAATGAACAATGAAGACAATTTAAAAGCAGTGTAAGGGAGGTAATCCAAATACAACGTTTTGATTACCTCCCTTACACTGCTTTTAAATTATGTTTGAAGAAATGCATATTTGTAAAGGAAGACCAGTAAAAATATCTGCAAATGTTGCATCTTCTTTTTTTAGTCCCCTACCGTCTGTCTGTCTATCTGTTTGTTCGTCTGTCTGTCCTTCTGTCAGTCCGGTAAATCAGTTTTCCACACTCAGGGAAGCAATTTATTGAGTTATTGTCTGACATGTTGATGACAGACAGACGGACGGACGGACAACGGTATACCATAATGCATCCTATAAACAGGCGTATTAAATTAGAACATAGGAGTCAAATGCAAGTTTTGTCTGCCATTTTGAAAACCGTTATAAATAGAGAAAATCTGACTAGAACAGAAATGTTCAGAATGTTGAGCTCTGCCAATTGTCCATATACATCAAAACTGTCAGACGACTTCTTATAGGAGTTATCGCCCTTAAATGACAAATAGTACCCTTTTTTTCATTTTTGCCTATTATTTGAAAACTATAATAGAGAGAAACTTTACATTGCAAAAATGATCTGCAAGACAAGTTCTACAAATAAGTTTACATGGTCAAAATTGTCAGTGGACTCCTTATAAGCCCTTTGATTTTTTCCTAATTTTTGCGTTTTTGCAGATAGAAACTTAAATAAGCAAAAATGATCAGCAAGACAAGATCTACAGTTTTTTTTAAAGTTAACAAGTAGATACAGTCTAGGTTTTAAGTTTGTTACACATCAATTACTT